TACCTGTCATGAACCTACAAATATGCAATATTTAATTTGTTTAACTATTATTATTGTAATATTTCTGGTTGATTGATGATTTTGACTATCGTGAAGATGGATGTTTATCGATTCTAAATATATGTCTGGTAGTTACCGTTGGGAATTGTAGTGTATTTCGTATTTTGAGTGTGTGTACGTATGTGTGTTGGTTACATGATAATACAAAAGTGTAAGAATTTCGTACAAATTTTACTATGTAAATGATGAAATAAATATATATTACAGTATTTTAATTTATTTCTTCTGGAAAATCACGATCTTTTTTATTTACCGTATTAAAAATAAATATTTATAAGAACATAATTGAACGAGCCTGGGCGGCCATATTGAATTTAGTATGATACGTACCGTTATCACTGACCGTTATACATACATCAGTACTGTAGTGTATTTCATATTTTTGAGTTTGTGTAGTATGTGTGTTTGTTACATGATACAAAAGTTTAAGAATTTCGGACAAATTTTACAATTTAAATGATAAATTAAATATATATTATAGTATTTTAATTTTTTACTTATGGAAAATCACGATCTTTTTTATTTACTATATTAAACATAAATATTTATAAGAACATAATCGAACGAGCCTGGTCGGCCATATTGAATTTACCCATGTGAATCGTAACATATTTAGACAAACAACACTCGGTAAATCTTTAAAAATACTCATTTATTGTCGAATTGAAAACAGGAATCTTGTACAATTTCAAATAAAACATGATTAAAGACGGAAATATGAATGTAAGTACTTATTTTCTTCACAAATAGTTACATTTAAAGCAAGTTTTATAAAGTGAAAAACACTGCTTCCGCCCAGCACTAATTAGGACTAGGAGTGGTGGGGGAAATCCCCCGTGCTGGGCGGGCTCGCCTAGCGCCGCCCACCGTAGCTATAACGCTGAAAATAGTCTATATCAGCTTACACACCTGTATTACCGACTAGTCGTCTACTCGTCCAAAAAAATCACTGTGTAGTCGACTACCAAAAAGGGGCTTTCAAAACAGGCTTACTGGGGGTAATGTTCAGCTTTTTTCTTTCTCATATCAGTCTTGTTGATGTCTCTGAGGTAATACTGTGGTGTGAAATGGACAAAAGTCAGCCTTTCACTCATAATGGCAATGATCTGTCTTACATGGCCATACAGTATATGATGCAGCTTTATTCCAAAATCTCTATTTGTAATCTATGTGCAAACGATCCGGATGCCTCTCTCTATCTCTCTCTTCTTTATGCTATGGTCACAACTCGCTGTGCATTTTATTTTAGGGCCATTGAGGGGTAATATTCATTTTTTCCTTCTCATGTCGGTCTTGTTGATGTCTCTGAGATAATACTGTGGTGTGAAATGGACAAAAGTCAGCGTTCTACTCTTAATGGCAATGATCTGTCATACATGGCCATACAGTATATAATGCAACTTCATTTCAGAATCTCTATTTGTAATCTATGATGAGTGCAAACAGTCTGGATGCCTCTATCTCTCTCCTCTTCTTTATGCTATGGTCAAAACTCGCTGTGCATCTTTTAGGGCCATGGGGGAGGGGGGGGGGGGGGTAATGTTCATCTTTTTCCCTTTTCATTTTGGTCTTGTCGATGTCTCTGAGGTAATACTGTGGTGTGAAATGGACAAAAGTCAGCGCTCTACTCTTAATGGCAATGATCCGTCTTACATGGCCGTAGTATATGATGCACCTTCATTCCAGAATCTCTATTTGTAATAGATGATGAGTGCAAACAATCCGGATGCCCCTATTTCTCTTCTCTTATTTACTCTACCATAAATAGATAGAAATGAGGCGCATGAACGGGGAGAGGTATAAATCCTATTCCCATTTCTTCTTCATTGTAAAAAAGCTATTGATTTCAGTTACAACCAAGTACAGTTTAGTTTACATCCCATTAAAAATATACAGAAGCACAAATTGGTATTGTAGCTAGTGAAAACTAAAATGGAGCTCTGGATTACATGAAAACAAATCTGGAACAGATGTTTTCTGCAGCGAATCTCATAACATTTGTTTTTGGTGCCCCTGCCCCCCCCCCCCCCCCCCCCTTAAGAGAAAAGTGATTTCCATACTGGTCATTCTATCCCTACATACTGTACATGTACATATAGACATTGTGATCTTGTGATCAACTTTGTAAACTCGCAAGAACCATTTTTGCTAGCAATCAAGTTGTCGAACACCCCCCCCCCCCTATAATTAAAGCTTGAAGAAAGCACCTTGAAAAGGGGAGAGAAATGTATTTGAAAATTAAATCTTTTTGAGTGGGATTTTTTCTTTCTAGCCTCTACATGGTATTAATGTAGTATCATTTAGCCTGATAAAGCATCTGTACAGTTTCCTCGGGTAAGAACAAGTTTATAAGGGATAAGAAATGATGTCCTGATAAATTACATGAACAGCTCTTGAGGTGGGATGCATGATCGAAGGACAAGATGGTTCCAACATCTCGCTGGCGCCATCTCCTCAACTCCTTACGTCGCACTTCACATGATTTACGGAGTTTTCCCCCAAGTTCGGTGATTGGCAGGAAAATTGACGTCCGCTCCCCAAAGCCCCCGTCCCCTGTCCCCTCTCTCCCCGCTGCAATCTACTGTTATGGTTGTATTACTGTTGTGTACGTTTACATCTATATAAAGAAGCTTTTCGCAATAACCGACTACACAATTTACATTAACTATGATCTTGCTTGGAAAATATCTGATAAAGGATAATGTAGAAACAACAGAATGGTCTGCTATTCAAGGACCATCCAATAGTCCGTAGTGCAAACATTAATGAAATGTTATCGAATTAATGAACAGCCAAAACATACAGTATGTGCTGTATGATGCGTAAAAGCAAAATTGGTACCTCAAAATGAATCATCCTCTTTCATTAGAAGCTACATAACTGCATGACATTGTGAGTGCATGGATCTAAAGGACAATGATTGAACTTCAATCCACATTTCAAATTTGCAATATGCATGAATAAAATAGTCCATAAAATACTTCACACAAATGAGCACATTGGACGAGGCTATAATTCAAAGATCGAGATTGACAAAAAATGTCAAGGGGCATGGTTAAATTATCAGTTCTTCGGTCTGCGTCTCTCCTCTCCACCCCTATTCTCTCTCTCTCTCTCTCTCTCTCTCTCTCTCTCTCTCTCTCTCTCTTTCTATCCATTTCTCTCCCTGTCTCTCTTTCCCTTTCACTTTCCTCTTGTCCCCTGTTGTTCTCTCTTTTGTTCTGTTTCTCTCTTTCGTTTTGTTTCTCTCCCTCTCCCTCCCCTTCTCCTCTTGTTCTCTCTTTCCTTCTGTCTGTCTTTCCCTTCCACCCCTCCCTCCCCTATCTCTCTCACACATACAAAACACACACACCCTCACTCTTCCATACACACAATCTAACTTCTAACAATTAAATGGAATGATCAATTAAAACAATACATGTACATCTTACAAGAACTACTATACCCTGATGCAAGACGAAATCTCCCATCAGAATTCCTGACCCGTGTTAAGTGATTCAGCTGGGACGTTTATGGGATCCTAACCTTTCAAAATGCTTAGATTGATGTTGTTTAATAAACATAAATCAGCTAGGACTAAGGGAATGTAAACAATGATTTGTCAACACATGCCTGTCACTGAGTATCTAGGGAAGCTTCTAAAGTTACAGGTCCTTCTCATTCCAAATCAAACCTCAACAAATTTGTTTTTGTTTTTGTCTTCAGGGGAACTTCTTTAAAATTTAACAACAATTTAACAAGCTAAATTTGCAGATTACATGTATGTGAAGGCATATTGGAGACAGCAAGAGCTTATGAGGCAATTTGCCCTTCAGATCCACCTGTTCATTGGTGTTGTTCGGAAATTATGTGAACAATTATAATGACATAAATGTGAGAAGGAAATAATTGCACCGATTCACAAATTCTTGGAAAGTTGAATTTGAATCAAATTAAAAAATGAAAAATGCTCGTAAATATTCAACTGTGCACCAATTTTGCTTGTTCACAGCCAATTATTACAGCATTGACTCGTATCACTTTACACAGAGGTAATGCTATTCTGGTCCTCAGCAAACGCTTTGAGTTTCTTTTAATGAGCAAAAGCTAAGGTAAACTTATGATTCCATACATAAAGACTATGCAACTAACAATATTTCACAATAAAATTGTTATTCTTCAGGAATAAAAACACAACATCATGAAGTAAATGTAAAAGTCTTATAAAGGCAAAGACTGATTTCATTATCTGTCACGGAAATGGCAGCGACTACCTGTATGCAATGGCAAACTGCCTGAAGCCATTTTCCAGTACCCTCTTTGTCTTTGTCTAACTACTACATTGTACATGAATGCGTAATTACAAGCGAACCACGATGTCCCGGGCACTGCAAACATGTATTATGCGCTCTTCAAATGGCACTGTAGACGGTACAGGTGCATGACCATTTTAATATGCACGCCTATCATGTGCTCCATGAATCAGAGATGCCTCTTCATGAATGCATCGATAGAGTATTCAGCAAAGGCTTAAAGAGAAGGTTGAGTTCTGTTTTCGGACTGCAAATGCCTTCAAAGTGCATGGTTATTGCTCCTATTCCTATCTATGACATTTATAGTGCTCTTTTAGAACCTAAAATTGCTATGAAGTTAATTTTAAACCCCAAAATGTGTGAAATTTGGCCAAAACGATCATACCAATTCAGCTCCACTTTCAAAAAAAAAATGGTGACTGTTAATTAATTATTTAATTAAAAATAACAATACATGAGCCGGCTAATTGTGGGTAATATAAGCAACACGAAAATGCCAACCATAAAGCCAACATCGGCATTGGCTGAAATACGACGTAAAAGGCATCATTTCATTTTTTTTAACGTTTTTTTCAAATTTTTCAAAATATCTAATATTTGTGGTGGTCGTTCGTTCGTTCGTGCAAAGAATATCAGGGAGTACATCATCTAGATAGGAAGATCCTTATTGAGCCAACAGATCGTCTCATCATCGAGCTCACGAAGTCCGGAAGCGCCGTGGGGGGATTTGTAGATCGGACAATCATCAATGACATGATCCATAGTTTGGATCTCTCCACAGGCGCAGTTTGGTGATGATTCGGCTCCAATTTTATGTAGGAAATATTGTGTGCGGCCAACTCCAGTTCTGACACGGTTTAGGTTGACCCAGGCTTTTCTTGGGAGGTCGCTGCCACTTGGTTTTGCACAGGGCTTTGGGATGAACTCCTTCAGGTTGGTAGTGGACGAATTCCACTGGTCTGACCAGCGTTTTGTTATCCAAGTGGCTAAGGTGGAGGGGGGGTTCTCAGGCCGCAGCTCAGCAGCCTGTGTTGCAAAGTGTCTTCTAGGGAGACGCTGTCCTTCAAAGGCAGAGGGGGCAGGAACAAGGCATTTATCTCTGTCATGCTTTTGGGCAAGCTTAGCATACTGCGCATCTCGTCTGAGCTGAGCTGGTGGTATGCCAGATAATATTGGCAGGTTGCTGACTGGTGTTGCAGTGAGTGTTCCGCTGATTAGTCTCATAGCGTCATTGAGGACAACATCAACCTTGTGTACATGGGTGCTGTGGCTCCATGCAGGTGCAGCATACTCGGCAGTGGAGAAGGCAAGAGCTAGAGAGGAGGTGCGAAGGGTGGTGAAATTAGCTCCCCATCCGGTCCCTGCAAGCTTCTTTAGGAGAGACACTCTGGCTTGGGTCTTTTGGGCTGTGGCTTTGGCATGCTCGTGGAAGGTGAGGCTTCGGTCAAGAGTGACACCTAGGTACTTTGGTGTTGAGACGAAGTTCAGCCTAGACCCATCTAGTGAGATATTCAGCTCTCGGTTGGCGCATCGGTTAGCCAGGTGGAAGACGGAGGATACAGTCTTTGGTATGCTTATCTTGTGGTGGTACACAAGTATTAGAAATCGTTATACTTCAGCAGCCTCTGAACCGATTTTGATCAAACAAAGATGATTTTGTCATTTAAATATGTTCTTTCAAATTTGACACTCAGTTTTTCATTATCTCACAAAAAAATTATTTTGTGTAGCGCCCTCTGCAACAGAACTCAACTATCCCTTTAATGAGGCAGGCATCGACGGCGCTTGTCTTGCAACCGTGAAGGGAGCACTCTAAGTAGGCATTTATATAAAAGATGCAGTGGTATTCAAACAGCATGATGTTTACATTTGTGGATGTAGCAATGGAATATCAATGGCATCGATGCAGATAAAGGCAGTGATTTTAGTGATACGAGCAGAAACGAGAAGAGACACTCGGCGCATGCTGTAATCAATCAATATTTCAAAGATGTCATAATCATTTTCGGGATGCACAGAGAGCGAACGTTACGCGTAATACAATATAAATGCCTATGAAATCCCACTATCTGAATGATGCATTATGTACCTCATCAATGATGGAGTACTAGTATTTTTGCATGTATATCAAAATGTACTATTTTATAAAGACTTTGCAGTTTGTGCATGACAAATTTATATTTTATTATAATACTACAACATACAAATTTAGAACCAGAGCTTCAAGTATGAAGCTTTTAAACAGCAACAATACATGGGCTGAGGATGATTTGCACCCCTACATTTACATGTACATGTATGGTTACTCTGAAAATGCGCACTTTAAATATTAATTCCTGTCAATTGTTTGAAATGCATATTTACATAGAACCTGAATAATTGGCGTTGGAAATGGCCCTCACAATTCCTATTGTCCATATTTCACCCTGGTTCAGATGAAACCCTGATTACAGCTACACATGTATAGTAGCTTCATTCAGTCGTTTTATACAAAGATATTTTATATTTGTGGCATTTGTTGATAGCTGACTGGGCTACTCTGTGTAAAGAGGTGAATTAAATAAATGAATTTAAAATCCAAAATGTGTCATAGTTATCCCCTGCTAAAATGATTGTTTTGCTATTGGTCCACAGACTTGGAAATTGAATAATTTAAAGGACCAACCTACAGTATGTGGATTTAAGTAACTTAATAGTTATTTATACTACCTAATATTAGCCTTACTGTTTCAGCTAGAATTAAGGAATAAAGGGAAGAGAAAGAAATTCTGCAATTTCTTTATTGTCCTGTTGGTATTATGACATACCTGTACATATGTACATGTACATGTTGTACATTCCAAAGGACTTACTCCTAAAGTGATAGGAAGTTGATATAAATAATTCCATTTCCAATAAAAAATTAGCCAATATATGATTTGAACAACGATTATGGAAAATAAATTTCATTTATATAACAAATCTTGAGATTCTCAGATTTCCTATTTGTCATGGTGATGCAATCCGTGACAAGCTCCTTCCCTTAATTTAAACAAGAACCATCGCTGGGATGGAAACTTGATGCAAATGATTCCATTTCCATGGTCATCATCTACTCCCCGTCTTGTCAGAGATGGATGTTCTCCATCTTGGGTTGCCTAGCAACGGGCCGTTCTTGATTTGCCAAGAGTGTCAGGTCGACATGGGATTTGTTGTGATGGGATCCGTTGTGATGGGATCGTGCAACTTCCAGTTCATTAATACGATTAACAGTGTGGCACTCTCATATACAGTGTGAGTCAAAAAAGGAAAACAGTGACAGTGCATGTACAAGCACCAATATAAAAACCAAATGAAATTGAGAAATTATATTTTATAACAGCATGATGGTTGATCATCAGGGCCAGGGTACCAATTTGTTTTCCGTCTAAGGGCCTGAAATTTCACAGATATAAGGGTCCGTCCTGAAAGTTGGGGCAATTTTTGTGACATACCAGAAGTGAGAAACTATATGTCTTCAATCAACTGTAACAAAGTTTGCTCAAATTGAGTTTTGCATAAAAAGCATAGCCAACTATATTCAGAAGTACTCAAGCTTCATGGTGAATAAATATTATGGACACAAATTTTATGTAATGTAATATCAATATGGTATCCATGTAACGCTGGTAAAAACAGAAATGTGTGTCAAGCAAAGATTTTGAAGAAAAGCAACTGAAACAGAAACAATTCTGACAGGGCACTATTTTCAACAGATACATGTAATTAGGTGGTCTGTTGTCAACAGACCACCTATTGTTTTCGTCAGAATTTTCTTTCTTTATTTATTTATTTATTATTTATTTTTATTTTCCGCACTTTTTTGTGTAGAGGATAACTCAAGATCAGTTTGGTCAATTTCTTTCAATTTTGGCACAGTCATAGGACATTGTCATAAGACGTAACAGTAACATTTTCAAGGTCACCAAGTCTTCATGACGTCATCCAGGCGCCATTTTGTGTTTTTTTTGGTACTTTTTACTCAGGATCATATCTTCATAACGGAATGGCATTTCCTATTCATATTTTAAGGTCAATATCCGTCCGGTCAATTTCAGGTGAAAAAAAGCGCGCGCATGAGTACGTCCGCGCGTAAGCGCGCGCGCAAAAAATAAAAATGCTCAAAATCGTCTCAAATTAATTTTGCATACGTTTCAGGCCATTTTAAGCATTTTGCAAAAAAAACGCGCACACGCGCATGGGCGCGTGTTTTCGCGTGTCCTGGCATTTAGCAACATAAAATCGCCAAATTTTCTCCGTCATCATATTTGAATCATTTTGCCAAGCATTTTGATACATTGTTCACCCGTTTCTGCCCATTAATAACGGAATGAGCGTCCGTTTAAGATAATGTCCGTGCGTGCGAGCTATTGTAATACATAGCATATATGGGCAAAAACATGCCATTTTAAAAATCGAAATAGCTCTTCAGATAGTCCGTCGACCCCCAATTTTTATATCATGGTTGGAGAAAACATGAGTTGGAGATATGATTTCATACCACCCTGACTCGTTCAAAGTGAAACAAAGTCATCATATTGGCATCTAAACTCAAACAAATGTATTTTGTTGATGACGTCATTTTTGTCTTTGTTTATTTGAGATTATCTCACTTATCTATGATCGATTTTCTTCCAGATTTTGATATGTTGTAGCTGAGATAATTCTCTATCAAAATTTTGCCATTTATTTTCATTTAGATGACTTCATTATAGTGAAATATTCGATTAATGGCGACAATGCATAATTTGTCATATTTGCGTGTTATGTCTATAGGTCACTTTTTTCAAAATATGAATCTGCATGACAATATGTTTTGACCAGTATCTCGGTTGTTATTCAACAGTTTCCTTCCAAATTTTAGTATGTTGTAGCTGAGACTATATGTTATCTAATTTACCCCTCATTTTTTCGATAAGATGTCAGGATCATGCTCATGATCATCAATATCATTAACATTATCATTATCATCGTCATCATCGTCATCACCATTACTATCAAGATCATCATCATCATCATCATTGTTTACATGTCTATATAACTTGTCCCATTCTCAAATCTATCATAAGACTTAGACAGACCACCTTATTCGTCTTCGTGACGAATTAAATTCTAGTTTCATCTTCCATTTGTAGTAGAAGATCTCATACCTAGGTTACATGGACACTGTCATATTTTTTGTCCCAACTTAATGGAATGACCCACAAAGGCAGAAAATGAAGTGAGCGTTCAAACGGAGCAAGGGCAGTGAATAGACCTTGATGGTGGTATCCAGGGGTACAGCTAGTGCCCCTGGGAGCTCCTGGGTTTGGGCTTTTCTGAACCAAGTGGAGATGTTGTGGTACAGTGGTCATTCACTTGCCTCTTGATCCAAGGGTTGAGGGTTCAAATACGAACCTGGCGTTAATGTCCTTTGGCAAGACATTAATCAAACGAACATGTGCGTTATATATGAAGCCGCCACCACCACTGATTATTGCACTAAATGTTTTAATGCATTGCGTACTGCGTTTTATAATTTGATAGCTTGTTCACCCGAATTGCGATCCTTCATGGTGCGACACTGGTCACTTGCACGTCAAAATCACCTTTTTCCTATGTTTGAGAATTGAGGTGAATGGTGTTCAGCAGGACAAACTTTCAATACATGTGAACGCATTCAATGGGAATAAAGACTATTCAACCGTACCTTTGGCCGACCATCCATTTCAACCAAACAGTGGAAACAGGCATTTTTTTTACATTAATTATTATTATTGCAAGGTGCCTTATTGCCTATCATCTCTTTGTACCGTTAACAATGATATTTGGGCATGAACAATAATAATAATAACTAGACTTTAATTCGTCACTTAGACGAATTAGGTGATACGTATGATAATGGTTTACATAACGAATAATGCATTACACGATATATTATTTTGTAAAATGCTTCTCCCATTTATATGCTTCTCCCATTATGATCTTTTCATATGTCAAGATTAAATTGTGTCTCCTTGATCATCATGGAACTAGGGAAGATAGATTGAAACAATATATGACCTTTGACCCTGTGCAGTAACCAGTTACACATTTGACTCTAATTTACATCATGAAGAACACCTTTTGACGATTTTATCATATTCAAAGAAATGAAAATGTAATTGATAAAAAAGAGCTTATGCCTGAATAATAAAAATAAATAGTGTATGACGTCACGATGTCCCGGCGTAAGTGAAAAGTCAAAATAAATGTGAGAATACATTAGCGATCATTTTGAGATGTCGACGTGAGATTCACTAGTTGCTTGAAAATAAAATCTTTAAATATCGGATGGATATATACTGTCACTGTATAAGGAATGTGGATTAGAGGTATATTGATCCGTCAGTCTTTCTTGAAGGCTTGTCAATTAAAGGAATACAAAGATTTGAATGTATTTCGCTCAAGAAATTACATACAGCATTGCCAGTAAATTTCACAGGATCAATGTTAAAATCTCCCATTATATAAACCTGTTTATGTTCAGTAAAACATTTTTAAAGACAGGGATGAAATCATTGATATTTGATTGGG